GCAAGGTCCACAAGAGATGGGTGACTTCATAAGTGCACATTGACTGGGCCCCCCCCCCCAAGAAAAGAAATACATACACAGCATTTTCGGGGGTTGTTACATTTAGTAGGAACTGGGAGAAGGATGTTTTTTCTTTGGGGAAATCATACATTAAAAACAACAATGTGTAGCCAAGGTAAGAACTTTCACGCGCTACCTTCAGAAGCTCTGGAAGATTCAATCGGACAGGGGGAGGTAATTTGACTAATTTTAGTATAGATGTATATATATGTTGCGCAATGCACATATGGGCCCCCTTATGTTTGAACATGGTGTTTCTTATGGACAATCCGGTAAGAGAACACCTCTATCACGCCCTTCCAGGTCTCACCGTCATTATCCACGCGAACATTGAAGCCCCCCAGCAGAGCGAGAGAGTCCCCAGGGGACGACATGCACCTCCTCCCTCTCGTGGCTCTAATCCATCTCAGGCTTTTCAGCCATTTGGGTTTGAATGTAAACATTGTGAGAACACAATCAGCCCCAGTCCTCTCCATCCTTCTCTCCATCACTCCCTGGCTTTGCCGTTTCCTTCTCCTTCTCCTTGCTACTGGGCCAGATAATGAAATACATAAATGCAACATGCATTTCATTTTTTTTTTCTTCTTCGGGAGACAGTGGGCCACGTTCCTCCCCTCTCCCCTTCTACCTTTGATGTCAGCGTGTGTTTCACTCCAAAACAAAATGCAGAACAGCCAATGAATAATGGAGCGAAGCGCCAAACTGCCACCTTCTAATCTCAGCAGGCCCGCAGCAGAGTGCTTCAAAGCTTTATGAGCTTGCGACACCGCTGCAACAACACCGCGATGATCGTATCGTGTACAGTCGCACGCAGCAGCCATGACGGTGGTCACGAAGTGAAAGCAAGCGACCCGATGAAAAACAACCACTTCGTGATGCTGTCACAACAGAATTGGCTGCAGAATGTTCGAGTGACTGCCGCGCTCGCAAAAAGTCAGCTGCGATCGGCTCCAGTTCACCTCCGACCCTCCCAATTTTTGAAAACAAGTAATAACTGTTCGGCTGCTTTTTAGTCTAAAGCAGTGGTTCTTAACCTGGGTTCGAACGAACCCTATGGGTTCGGGGAATCAGCCTCAGGGGTGCGACCGAGCCTCTGCCATGGAGGTTAAGATACGACCGACTCAACATGTGAATTAGTTATGACATCACTGGCTGGTTCATTTTGTGCGCAATTAAATAAACATACACTTTATAATTATACTAATTGTGTTTACATTTTTTCAGTTTTGAATAAATGCGTTTTTTTTTTTTGTCTTTAATTTGTAAAAAAAATCATGCTCTTTATTTTTCACTAATGAAAATTTAATCCGAACCAGAGTATTCCTCCTGGCCAAATATTTTTGATTCAAAATAAGCTTCGGTTCAGGAACGACGCGATGATGACATGAAGAAATGTGCTTTGGCATTGATAAGTGCAGTGCGGTGTGAGCGAGTGTGTTGGGAAAAAACACAGATCACAATTACCCGCGATTCATTTTTACTCATAAACTATAATAAATCAGTGGGGTTCACTGCAAAAGCATCATGGCATCGTTACTTTGGCACATTAACCTAAAATAGTTACGAAATGGTTTGAAAGTTAATGTGGAATAAATTAGAGGGGGGGTTTTTTTGTTTGTTTTTTTTTGTTTTTTTACTGACAGTACTTAACTCTTGTTGCATTTTCTGGTGGTCAAGAGGATTTACAATGGACCTGGTTGAATATTGTAGGCTCAAAGTGCAATAGCATCCCCGCGCCCCTGCCTCTTCTGGTCTCTCTCTCTTTCTGTTTTCTCACTCCTTTGTTATTTCTAGATTCATATAATATGAAAGTTAATGTGGAATAAATTAGAGGGGGGGATTTTTTGTTTGTTTTTTTGTTTTTTTACTGACAGTACTTAACTCTTAAGCCTAGAGAGGACGGGTTGTTTATAGGCTATACTCACTCCATTTTCACTCTCCCTTTCTCTCTCTGGGGGAAAGCCTACAGCTTAAGGTAATGCACTTTTTTTTGAGTGCGTTTTCTGGGCGAATGTTAATCAACCACTTTCTCACACTTTATTAGCTTCGTGTCTCTGTCTTTTTACTTTCTCTCGTCTGCTTCCACTCGCTTTTTCCTGTCTATCACAACACCCCATTCCCATGTCCCCTAATTAAATGCCCACCCATCCAAAAAAAAAAAAAACTAGTCAAATCAAAACAGGCTTTAGAGAAAAATGTCTTTTCAGGTAAATACACATTTGACAGCTTTTAAGTACACATACACAGTGGTTGACTTCTTTTTACGCCTGCATTACAGTTAAGAATGTCAAAAGGGGCGATACAGGAAAGCATTTCCTTTCAAGAAGCCCCCCACTCCACTTCTGTCTTCAAGCCAACCGATGTCCCAAATGTGTTTTGCCATGATTGGCTCGGTTTGGGGCAGGAAGTAAAAAGCGAGGCTGAGTGCACAACGCCTGACTTCCCCTGGAAGAGTTAAGTGTTTTCAAATGTATCCTGCAGCGTCAACACTGGCACTACTGGCTTTGCTTCATTACCATAAAGAAATTTCGCTGCGGCGACTCGACCAGCAACAAAATGGCGAACAGATGAGAGCCAAAGTGAGGAGCGAGTGAGACGGATGAGGCAGGAGAAAGAGGGATGGGCGAGAGGATGAAACCAATGCGTATTGCATGGCTACAGACGGGATGCATGAAGCCTAACAGATGGATCAATTGCTTTGTGAAGACCCCACACCTGCTCACAAAAAAAAGTTTGAACACCGATAAACAAAACTATTGGCCTACTAAGCTGTCGGAACACGGATCTTCTGAGCCAAAAACAACCAGCGTGTTAGCATTGCTCAAATAATTTCAAAATGCCGTGAAGTGAACTATAGAGACAAACAGCAAGAATCCCGTGTCGGTGCCTTTGACTCCACCTTTTCGGGGAGACACATACACCTGACAGATATGTTTCAGAACGATCCGGCAGAGGAATCTGAGCAGTTCGGAGTCATTTATTTGTCGTCGTGTGGCTCATTATGGAGTTTGAAGATTGATTTCAAGTGCAGACGGAGCAGCAGCATGTTTCAGCACCACGGATAGCTCCCACTCCCTGTTCTGGGTCGGTGGCTTTTGGTGGGCTGTCCTATGGGAATATTATTTTAGATTTCAAAAGGACTTCAAACTGAGACAGATGAGACCCACCTCGTACCATTTACTGACACAACCTCATGCAAGAAGATCGTAGTAAGCAGTTTTGTATGTTTTACATTAATTTTCTATGGCGCAACTCTAATGAGGACAGGATAGGACAGAGCATATCCTTGTGTCATGAATGTGAAAGCTAGTACAGCTGCAGGTACACATGCAGTTTAGTTGTATTTATGATTACCTTTCTCACAACTGTACAAATAAATAGGAGTTTAACCACCAGACCACCCCAAAAAAAATTTTTTTTCCATGATGCCGTTTTGCATGGTGTTACATCAGGCCTTGTTAGAGAGGCACACGCCATCAGACACACACGCACACTTTGCACCCAACTCTGATGACTTCTTGCCTGGATGTTTTATCACTTTCCGTCTCAAGCCGCGTCTGTTTGATTATCTCGGTGTCACAGGTTATCTGCCTGTTAGTTCCACTTTTTTTTTTCTTCGCCGTTTCATGCTGCAACCATTGCACACTATATTGGTGAAGTGAATTTTGTGTCTTGGCAAAATAGAAACACATGCAATGCTGGTATGTCATGCTTCTTTTGAAATATTTATCACATGAGAGGTCTTTTGTAGAATCCTTTGAACGAAGGCTTGCGGTTCATTTCACGACACTGCCCCACCTCAACTGCATAAATTCCAATGACCAAAGAGCAGCATCAACGTTTAAATTCATTATGAGTGTGTATAAAGCAAGTTCTTAACAATTGATACGCTCCTCGTCTTAACTTTAAATTCAAAAACACTACACAGTACGAGCTCACACATGCATCTGGCCCAGCTATGCTCCACCACTGCATTAGTCTCCACGGGTGTCGAAAAGAGCAAATCACGGTAATGAGCAAACTGCAACTGCGAGTGAACCTCAAAATGTATCGCGGTGGAAGCAAAAGACCACATGCTGCTCAGAACATATTTTAAGTCTGCGGCATTTTTTTTTTTTTTTTTAATGAAACACTATGTAAAGCACACCGGAAGACTTTTTGAAACGCAGAGAAATGCCTTGTTTTCAGTGTGGCTCAATTCCCTACACAGCAGCAGCTCAAAGACTTGAAATTAATCGGGTTTGGTTTATTTGAGCGTTGTGACTTCAGGCTGTGTTCAATACAACCCCATGGTTCCACTCTCGCTAATGAGGGAAAGGTGATTCATTTCAAGGTGAGCCAGAGAATAAAAAGATAATTAAAAAAAAAAAAACATTGAAAAATAAATTACTTGGACGGATGTCAAGGCCAGATACATTCTTTGAGAAGAAATACTCCGAGCCCTCTGTGGTCCCCTCACTAACTACTTACCATACAGTTGAGAGTTCATTATCATATCAGAAAGCAATTTAGATTGGAAGGCAAACACAGCAAAAATACATGTTTGGGATATCTGCAGACCGATGATGATGAAACCTTGTCAACAGTGTCTGCTGACACCCCCCGGCCCCCACTCCCACCCCCTTGCCACTCTGTGGCAGCCACCTCCATGCCTCAGCTGAATAGCCAGATAGCTAGCTGGGTGGCTCGATAGCTAGATATTGACTGCATATTTCAAAACAAAATATACAACTGATCTGAATGCAAACTCAACAATAATCTGATTTAAATAAAGGCCATTCCAGTCAACATTGATCAAAAATCATTACTTTTGTTGTGTTGTGTCACTCTGGCCGCCACAACCTTTGAATCATCATCAGATTGTCATGTGATGAGTGGGTAATGTGTTGAAGTGTAGAATGATTTCAACAAACATTGACAACAAAACATTGTCTACTTACTGAAGGATGTCAGGGAGCTGGACAGGTCTGTGTCTTCATTTAATAAAAACCTATGAGACAAAAAAACAAACAAACAAAAGCAAAACGTTAAGTGTGTATGTGTGGTACTATATACACCATGCATTGTAGTGTTTACTTATTCAAACACAACCAGAAAATTGTCAGTCATGAAAGTAAACAAAAATCTAAGTGGCAAAGACACTTTGGAAAGGTTGTGCCAATAGTAAGAAGAACCGAATGAGAATCAAGAACTGTCTCAGTTTGCCCGACCTAAAGTGACATGCTGCTCTTTAATTTGATCACTTGCATACTTTGCCTTCTCTCCGCTGTCAGACATCGGAAATGTCACCTGAGAGTCAAATTTCCTTCAATTGTTGTGAGTAATGCATTTTCCTATACTTTACTATTCAAAGACTTTTACATCCCCTGTATGATGTATCAAAACACCATCAGGTGCTACTATAAACAATTCATTGTAATAGACATGCACTTTAAACCTTTAAGATTCCACTTTCTGCAAATTACGCATACTCAAATTTGGCGTGAATTGCATTGCTTTTAAATAATTGCCGTTAAAAAAAAAAAATTACTGCCATATCTTCTAGGATTTTCATTTATTTCAGGTCCCTTCACACAGTCCGGCCAATTTCTTGGTGAAGCTAATTGCAAAGGAAGGAATTTCTAAATAGAAATGAGCAAAGCGATCAGGCACAAGGTTTAACGGACTTCATGCTGCAAGCTTCCTAGTCACGCTAAGGTCAATGAAAAACCATCCGAGTACTTATAAATTAATAGAGAAGAGCATCACAATGAACAGAGCTCTTCAATTAGTCTTCTGACATTTGAGAGTTCATGAGAATAATTGACTTGTGGTGTGTTCATTATGCTTTTCAATGACATATCTTTGCATGCTAGAAGATATCAATGTGCTGTAATTGTTTCTAAATTCCAACCATGTTCGGTAAACTACACTCATTTTCTAACCATCGTTGGACCTGAGAAGTGGTTGTTACCCGATTCCAATGGCAGAGAAAGAGATAGTCAGGCACTTGACTGAGCTTGGCAGGAAATGAAAAAGAAATTAACTGTGGGGTGGATGGTGGTCTCCAAGTGCCCACTTCACAGCGGCCAACTCATCCGCAAGTGGAAATCCTGCAGTTCCTTATTTATGTACTATGCGCGGAGCCATCTCCTGCAGGGACAACAGTGATTCCGTTATGCTACTGCGATGTCGGCCGAGCATCTCTCCTGTGCTGAATTTAAAGGGAATGACGGGAACCGCTTCATTTGGCGAGGACTCAAGTTGGCTGTGTCCACTCCCACAACGATGCAAACACCCATTTCTAGTTGGGTCCATCGATGGAAGAAAAAAAAAAAGCACTTTGCGCGAACTAAACTTGTGCGGGGCACGAATAGGGCCCTTGAGGTTCAGTAAACTCTCTCCAAAACTAACCACATCATATGAATTGTGATACAGAGTCAAATCAGGACTGTGTGAGTCCCACTTAAGTCAGGTAAACATTCTTGACGTCAAGGTCAGTACACCTTTGCACCATTGCCACATTCCTCCCTCGAGACTCTCCCATTGTTTTGACTGCAACCTTCATCGGAAATCAATATCGAGACATATTTATGAACTACCACGGAACTGAATGCTTTCCAGTATGTTGTTCTGAACTGCAGTGCAAGAAGCTATCGACCAGCGACAAGCTATTGTTGAAATATTTTCTTCTTTTTTCCGAATATCAATCTATCATGAACTTTGAAAAAAAAAAAAAA